CTGGCCAGCCTGTTCCCGTGTTCTGTTCCCCTTACTGGGACGAAGTTCTTCCTCATGTTTAAGCGGAACCTCCTGTGTTCCAGCTTATATCCATTTCCCCTTGTTCTGTCACTGGATGCCACTGAGAAGAGCCTGGCTGGTCCTATCGCCCCCTCTCCATGTTGCTGAGGGAGGAAGCTGCCCCAGAGTGCAGCAGTTTGTGAAGTGGCATACACACGGAGTGGATCAGTGCATGTGGGGATCCAGGGGATCGAGGTTCTTTGGGATCTGTCAGGCTGGAGAGACCGACTGGCCATCCTGTTCCATGCTAGGATGTATTTGTTCACGGCGGCTCTTGCAGCAGCTCATGAGCTAGAGGGAAGGTAGGTGCCATATGGGGGCACGGACACAGTCTGCTGCTGAACTGCCCGGTGCCCTCCAGCCATGACCCCTCTCCTTGCCGTTTCAGGACGGTGTCTCCTGCGGGGGTGAACGTGCTGCACGCCCTGAGCCGGTACAGCCGCTACGTCAGCATTCTGGACGCCGACAGCAAGACTCTCCGCTGCCCGCTCTACAAAGGCACCGTGGTGCCCCGGCTGGCAGACCACCGCACGCAGATCAAGCGGGGAAGCACCTACTACATGCACGTCCAAAGCATCCTCACCCAGCTGTGTTCAAAAGCCTTCCTCTTCACCTTCTGCCATCATTTGCACCTTCCCATCAGCGAACGGGAACCGGAGGAGTCGGTCGTGCGTCGCAGGATGAACTTTCTGAAGCTTCAGCTGGGCCTCGCCAATGAAGATGTCAAGATTGTCCAGTATTTAGCTGAGCTGCTGAAGCTGCAGTACGTTCAGGAGCCGGGCCGGGGGGCGAATCCGCTGCTCAGATTTGACTACGTTCCCAGCTTTTTGTACAAAATCTAGCCTGGCGTGTGGGCTGTCTGCCTGCGTACAAGGATCATCCGTGCTTGACGTCGGTGCTGTCTGCAGTAGCTCTCATACCTCGGGAAGGGGCGAAGGAGCGTCTCCGCTCCGCAGAAATCAGTGTCTGAGGGGCCGGATTTCTGTGTGGTTCCCCGGAGCCAGGAATGTCGATGTTCCATCACGTAAAACACCGGGCACGCTGTTTTTCAATGTTACAAGAGGCACTATTAACTTTGAAAGCATATCGTGGCAGCATCCCAGGGGGATTGTGGCGTGGAGAGAGGTGGGCTGTCTTGGGGATCAATATTTATTAGCGTGCAGCCTCCAAAACGACACCGCGCTCCGCGTGCTTCTGCCAGAGCCCTGAATGCTGTTGGTCCCTTCCACGGAGCCAGGGTGGTGGCCAGAGGGAAGATGTAAAGGCCACGTGGAGTTTTTTGCTCCACTGATGTCCACATGAGTGTCGCTCAGGAGCTCCTTCGCAGGGTGGCAGCTTGCAGTTACCCATCTGTGCACAGCAGCAGCGGATGGTGTGTCCCTTCCTGCATTTTTCTGAGTTTCCTGGCGTTTCCCAGGCCAAGTTGTCCCTGGGCAGGTGGGAGCGCAGAGAAGCACACGCGTTTCTCTCCAGAAAGCGTTTGCTGGTTTCTCTCAGCTTTGTTAAAATCTGGAACGTGGACGGGCTCCTTGACACCGGTGGGCACTGAGGTGCCTCCTGCTGTGAATGTAGAGCACTGTGCCTTGTTCGTTTGTCACATCCCGCTTGCTGGGTGGCCTCCAAGAGGGATGGGAGGACGACTGGGAATCCTCAGAGCCTGTGAGGTAGAGTGGGGGGGACCCTCGTTTTTAGGTGTGTTCCGTGATGGGGAAATGAACAGCACAACTGAGCAGAAGCTACGCTGTGAGACAGCAGGCTGTTAGAGCAGGCTGGTGAGATACTGGTGCTCAGGAGACATCAGGGATGAATGTACTGGATTCCGTGCTGTATCCGTAATAGTTTCTTCCTTTTTTTTGTCGGGGAGTTGACTTTTGTGCTGTGTGGTAAAGCAGGGTCAGCATTGCTGCATGCTGCCTCTGGCCGAGCCTTCATCGTGTCTCGGCTGCTTCTCCTGGGACAGCTCTGGACAGGGCAGAATCGCTGCTCTCTGAGCCTGGATGCTGAGGACTTTCCTGCTGCCTGTGCCATAAAGGTGGTGCCACCGGTGCGGTGATGCCCCCAGATTGTCTCTGTCAGTGTTGAAAGCTTTGTGCCTGGGCACAGCGCTTCCCTCCAGAGTCTTGTAGGAGATGCTGCTCCTTGGCCACTGGTGCCAGTCTGCAGTCCGCTCTGCTCGGTGCCGTGTGACAGTCGCAGCCCCCCTGGTACTTCTAAGCAAGAAGAGCCTTGCTAGGAACGAAAGTCTTCGGTTTATTTCTTGTTATCGCTGTTCTGGTGATGGGGTGAGGACACTGAGATCGTAGGAGATGACCCAATGAGCTGTTTGGTTCGGAGTTTCTTTTCAAACCTCTGTTGATTGCGATGGTGTGAGGCAGTGCTGGAGATGAATGGGATGTTCCCTCTGTGCCTGGGAAAGTCTCTGGGTAGGGACTGGGGTTTTGTGGCTTAGACCCCGCTGAAACTTGCCGTAAGAACGGCTCTGCTCCAAAATCTGTGTCCCGAAGGCAGGGAGGCTCCATGGGGAAGCTGGCGTCTGGCACCAGCATCCACGCTCAGTACTGCTGCCACCTGTTTGTCTCGCCTGGCAAGGGCTCTCTGGGGCAGTGCGGGAGGTGTTAGCCAAGAGAGCAGGAAGACTGTTTTGAATGTTCCTGGTGGCTTACAGCGAGGCCCGCTCGTGGTGCTCTCCAGAGGGATTTCCACGGTCAGGGGTTGCCTGCGATGGTGTTTTTAGGTCACAGGTGGGAAGCAGCGCGCCGTCGCCGCAGGTGACTGTGCCTGTGTGCAGGGCTGCACGCCTTCACAGCGTGTTTAAAGGCCTTCTCCTTTCCTAACCCTGCCCTCCTGTCGCGTGGGCACTGAGTCTGCTGGTGGAAGACCTCTGTGTCCGTGGGAAACACCTGCTTTCGGAAGGGACTCGCGTGCGCCCGAGTGGCTTCCCCACTAAAGCTGGGGCGAGATTCCCTGGGGGAAGAGGTGCCTCAGTGAATGAGGAATGCAGGTGACACCGTGTCCTGCCTGACCTGCAGCTCTGGAGAAGGGCTCATCACAGGAGCTTGTTTCCTGCTGGAAAACAACCTGATGCTCTTTGGGGAAACACCTGCTTTCGGAAGGGACTCGCGTGCGCCCGAGTGGCTTCCCCACTAAAGCTGGGGCGAGATTCCCTGGGGGAAGAGGTGCCTCAGTGAATGAGGAATGCAGGTGACACCGTGTCCTGCCTGACCTGCAGCTCTGGAGAAGGGCTCATCACAGGAGCTTGTTTCCTGCTGGAAAACAACCTGATGCTCTTTGGGTTTGAGGAGGGAGGGACGAACTTTTTTCCTCTGACTCACCTATGTCTTCCTCTGGGTTGAGAGCACAGAATGGCAGAGCAAGGTGGATGGTCAGTGTTGGCTTTTCTCTTAGTCGCAGTGGTCTCTACCTGTGGTGTTCTACTGCGCTCACAAATTGGTAAATGGCTCACTTCTCGTTGCTCCCTCGATCCAACCTGTAGTATCTGACACGCAAGGCTGTGTTGAGCAATACTTGCACTACCACCTGTCTGACCTGCTTCATCTCCACCAGGAAGCAGCTCTGATTTGGGAGGATGCCCTGGGGGCTTTGCTGGCACCGTTGCCCGTTTCCAAACGGGAGCTCTGCGCTATCTGGGACTCGGCTATTAAACAGGAGCCGAGGGGAAACACACCTTGGAGTACTTGTCCTCCTGAAGCTGGCTCATGGCAGGGTAACCTCTGAGCTTGGACTCAGAAAGGGAGAGTTATGTCGGGCTGCGGCAACTCGGTGCAGCCGGAGCCCAGGCTGCCCTGGCTGCTTGTGGCACCATAACAGCGGCAGAAATCGGGGGGAGGCCGCGTGCAGCTGGGGGTTTGGGAGCTGAATTCTGCTTTTCTCAGTGATTTCTCTGCCCGACCTTCCGCTCCTGTACAGGAAAGATCCCCACATCGGCACTTTAAGACGTTTTCCTCATCCTTGCTGCGTTACCTCACTGGTTTCCAATATTAGCAGACTTGTAAGAATTACGCTCTCCGCACTAACGGCTCCCCCGGGCAAACCCGGCACGTGTCCGCCCTGGGTTG